TTATTCGTAGAGGTCAACGAACATCCAAATTTATATTCTATGCCTACTGTTCCTACTGCGATTCTCTGTTGCGCATACGATGCCGAGAACACGTATTGTAACGAGAAAACCGTTAGATCTTCGACTGTGGCCGACCAACCAAATGGAAAGAGGGAATCCTTGCAACTGGTGGTTGCACTCCGTTGCCAGCTATCATTTTATGGTAAAGTTGATCGTTAGATATATTTAGAACGGAACAGAGATCGTGTTTTTTTTCCTCATTTGAACGCAATTTCGTATCCCTTCCTTTTTCAGATTTCTTTCTGTTCCGACGGATCGTTTCGAAATGATAATTAAAGCGCCGATTACTTTCGATCGAATTTTTTTTTTCTTTCTTTCTTTCATTCTTTCGAGAGAAATTAATCCGAAAGTAGATCGAGATATTCGATCGATTGAACACTCGGTGAAATTCGTTCACAAAAAATGTTTTAATGAAACGATGTATGTACGAATTCAAATTTTGATTGGGATTTAAATTGATCATTTTGCAGTTACGTTATTCTATGTGTCATTATTGATACTGGTTAATTGACGATTATAAAACGTAACGTAATATATTTTTCAACAGGCATGATCGTTATGTCACGTGTAATGTAATACACGCATACGTGAATGTAATACTCTAAAGCGTAACATGATGAAAGAATACACGGCGAGCATAATGTCAGATAATGAAATTACATTTATGCCGGTAATCGCGCAAAATAAACCTTCAATGAGATTTATAGCGTAAATAATTACGTATTAAATGAAACAAATTGCTTTTTTTTTATTTATATTTGTTTCACTTTGAAATAAAATAAGATTAAAGCAAGATGTTAAATCTCTTCTTTTTGCTGCAATTGTATTTGATTTGAAATTAATTAACATGAATTATGTGACGCAACCAAGTATGGAGAAACTATCATTAGTTCTCACGGTTGAGAACTAATGTGAATCTTTAATATATTTGCACTTTTTCATTTAAATCGTTTTTTCGTGTTTAAATAAAAATTCAGGTCGGCTATATTATATCATATACGGATTGTTTTTAATTTAACAACTAAATTCTTGGCTTGGATAATGGTATGGAAATTTACGAAATAAATAAAGAATATTGTACTTAAAATCGAATACTCGAGAGCTTTGTTCGTTTCTCAACTCCTGTCGATTGGATGTTTTCTATCTTTTTTTTTCAGAACGGTTTTCTTCTTTTTAAATTTAATATTTTTACGTTAAGATAGAAATTAGTAATAGCAAGAATTGCTTATATTAAATGCATCATTAGAAATTTTTCTGGACGAGTAATCAATAATGAATTTCAAAAGTATTTGTTGTTAAAGAAAGTCCAAATTTATATTCCAAGCTAAAAATTAATAATAAAAATTACTATATATAAATAAATATCGATATAATGAAAATAATAATAAAAATATTTCCAAAACATTAGAAAAATGATTTATTTAAATGATTTACTAGGTTAAAGAAATTTTTAAATTTATTTTATTGTATAAAAGCAAATATTCAAAATAAGAATTTTCCAGGTAGAAAAATATCTACAAGATGCATAATTACGCCAAATGCATAAATTAGAAATTTTTCTGGATGAGTAATCACGTCAATGGAACTTCTAACACGATCTCGAGAGGCTGCAATCGGCATTAAAAACGGTCTGGCATAATGGCACGAGTTGCAACACTACGCGTAGGTGTCGATGGAAGGCGCAATGCACTTAGATGCGGCATATCTGTAATTTTGTTTCCAAGCGAGAGAAGATGCGCACGGAGATGCAAATAAGAGCGCAAATTGAGCGAAGAAAGTGAAACAAAGGAAGAAGGAAAAAAAGAAAATATTTCTTAATTTCTATGGAAATAAATCGATGATACTTTTAGATCACTCTTTGAATCGAGCAAATACAATTAGTTACATAAATGAACAGGTAAGAGTTTTTACTTCAATAAAGTGTTTAGTGAAACATGGATAATTCTTATAACAATTTACCGGAATTTCCATTATTTTGAAACGTTTTAATGCTAAATGTCGTAAATATATCCAACTCATTGTGTTGTCACTCGATAAAACATAAATATAAAATTTCATACACAGTCTTCCTGCATCAATCTCGCTTTCGACATTTCTCCAAGCGAGCGACATCCATAAGTAAAGTAAAATCTGTAAACAGATATGGAAGAAACCTGACGTCCCGACCTGGCAAAGACATAGAACGAGAGCGAGAAAAAAAGATAGGAAAAGCAGTGGAAAGAGGGAGAGGGGAGAAGGAACTGGGAGCAGATGCATGGATCGGAATGCGGCATCGGCTGCCCAAGGAGAACCACTTCGCGCTGCGCCCTAGATATTCCATAGTTAAATATCCGTCGGTTCCACGTATGTTCTACGTGTACTGTGTGGCGTCCACTCTTCCATGCATATCGTTGTCGAGCAAACAATTATCGGACACGCGCGCACACTCGGCGTCTCGCCATTTTTTAACCCCTCTGAGGTCGTCGCGTGACACGTGACGCGGATATATTGGAAATCTTTGTGTGAATATTCCTTAATTCGTATATTATGTTATGTAAACGTTTAACATTTTATCCTGAAAGATTTAATGAAATTTTTCATTGCAAATGATTTTCTCCAGTGATTTCTTAATTCTTTCTTATTTTTTCTTGATCCAACGTGGATACATTGGAAATCTTTATATAAATATTTCTTAATTTCTTAATTCGTATATCGCGTTATATAAACGTTTAACATTTCATCGTGAAAGCAGAGATTTGACGAAATTTTTCGCTGCAAATGATTTTCTCCAGCGTCTCGCCTTTTTTTTAAATCATTTTTTAATTGATACATTGAAAATATCTCTTTGTAAATTAATAATTCTTAAGACGAGGAATACATTACGTTGCATAAACGTTAGAACCAGAGTTGGGCATTTTCAACCCGTTGAAAAATTTCGAATAAATTTACTTTAAGTAATTACTTATTAAAATATTTGAACAATATTAGCTATTATGCGTTTGATGTGTTTTTTGTACAACCTCGATCTTTTGCCACTACTAATTATTATGTCTCGAACAATAAACAATATTGAAATAACATGTCATAACTTCAACTATTAAATTTTATCTATCATTGTTAAAATCTTTTGCAATAAATCTTTTTTTTTTTTAAATATTCCAATGGACGTACAAGAAAATAATATATAGTATATTTACACAAACGTTTCTCACTTTCAGATATCTTATCTACGAAGGATAAAAATTCTTACCTTTCCTTTTGCTTATACGTTATATCACAATTAAATTATATCAATCATAATTTTATAAATCTCATAATTTGACAAAATTCTTCATTTCCATACCGTATGATTTTCGAAATTCAAAGAAATCTCAATCATAAGTTCAATCTAGTGTGCACGCTTAAATCTCGAGACGAGTCGATTTCTTCTTCCGCGATCGGTTCGAAAATAAGGCGGACTGGCTCGCGACCGGTAAATCGGTTACCGATACGCTTCGCGTGAGATAAGAAATGCACGAAGAAGTGTACGCGAGAAACGCAGGGTGAAAATTGAAACGGAGGGGAAAACGCGGTTCCCCGTGCGTTTTGCATACGTTGGAAAACACGCGACTCGTTCGAGTTGCTCTTGTTCTGGTTATCCTGCTTGCGTATCCTCGCTTTCTCTCGAACGTGATTCGAGGCGTGTGTATCGAGCGTACTTGTGGTGGAATGGTGTGCGCTTAACGACGATCGCGTGCTGCAATTAAACTCGTGGCTCGCTGCGTTACTCGAGAATGTTACTCGATTTTTTGTAAGATGTCATACGATTGGAGACACGATTTTTGCATCCGATTTAAACGGTTGAAATTAATCGATAATGTACTTCAATGCCGATGTAATGATCAAAAAAGCGTAAAAGTAATGCTTAGAAGGATATGAACGGTGTTGCTTTTTGCGATGAATTTTTTTTTAAATATTCCAATGAACGTACAAGAAATTAATGTATAATATATTTACAGAAACGTTTCTCACTTTCAGATATTTATCTACGAAGGATAAAAATTTTTACCTTCCTTTTCCGCTTATGCGTATTACATCATAATTAAATATTAATTATTATTTTATAATTTTATAAATGTATCTTATAACTTGTTTTCTGTGAATTTTTTAATTTTATTTTTATCAAAATTTTAATCATGAAATATAATAATGTTCGAGAAAGGAAAAAGTGGGAAAAACTTACTTTTATAGGTAAAGAGAAAAACTAGTTTGCAACGATGCTTGTCGTATTCTCGGAATCGATTTCACATAATAGTTATTTCTAACCTAAGTACGTGGGACTGTTGCGATAATCTGCCCTCGATTAATCAAGACCGTCATAACTTAATACGTTACATGGACTTGTATAGTTACTTAATGTAATCATCTCGTGCAAAAAGGATCATGATCATTATTTCAACGACAGGAAACTTATATGGTGTTTTGTTGCTTAAACGCATTTCTAATAATTCAATAGAAACTCTCTAATTCTTCTTCCAAACTCATTTAATATATGTATCATGTAAGTCGTTCTTAAACTTTAACAATTCACTAAAATATAAGTTATATTTTTGATAAATTTTATTCATTCTTTAAATCTTCAAAACTTATTTAAAAATGTATTACACAACTCATTCTCAATTTACTTACTTTAATTTAAAGTTACTTACTTTTATAAAAATTTTTCTCTGTTGAATTTTTCTAACAATTCATCAATATACAAACTCTAAATCTTCTTTCAAACTCATTTAATATGTGTATCATGTAACTTATTCTAAGCTTTTTTAAAATTACCTTTATGAATTACTTTCTTTCTCTGTTGAATTTCTGATAAAATTTCAAACTCATTTAAAGATATATCACATAACTCTTTCTTATTTATCCAGATTTTTACAAAATCTTCTCTGTTGAATTTCCAATAATTCATCAAAATACAAATTATATTTTCGAAAAAGTTTATTCATTCTTAAAATCTTTTTTCGAAAACCCACACACGTTCACATACCTCATCTTATTTAGATATTTACTTTTTACTTTTCTTTGTTCTAAAAAAAAAAGAAAAAAATTAAAATCACGGCTACATATCGTCCAATTAAACCCAATTAAAAGCTACAAGTAACCATCTCGAATGCTCGAGTTCGATCGATTTAATTGGAAGTCCAGTCCCTGGATCCTCGTCGCCGCCGCCACTGCTCGAGACGAAAAGACGACGAAGAAAGCAGGCCTCCACGTCGGCCCCTTGGGTGAAAGTCGTCCAAAATGTCACTGGAGTTTAACCTTACCGCGAATAACATACGCACAGCTGCGAGGTGTTGCGGGACAACGTATAATATGCCGTGTTGCGTAATCATATCTCCTCGCATCACGGATGAAACGATAGAAATACTCGGCAATTTCAGGCACTAAGGTCGTGCATGGAAAATCCTCGATCCTGCTTCCACACCAAAATTCTCGAATATTCGAACGAATCACCGTTTCTTTTCTCTTAAATATTGAGAACAGCCCTAAGCATGGTCCCTTCGATGGTTGAGAACCCGCTCTTATTCTAGTGTCTAGTCGGCGCCACTGAGTAGATACATCCTGTTTGTTATTGGACACGGTTGAAATTTTCTGAAAGTGACAATTCGAAAAGATTATTTATACACGTAATGAGATTTTTTTCTTTTTCTTTTTTTTTTTCTCTCTCTCTCTCTCCCCGTAGACGATGAAGTTGTTCCATTAACGGTTAATTAAAATGCACACTTACGTCGGTTTACTATTAGTTACATAAATATTCGAAAGGTCTTTCACTATGGAAAGTGAGATAGTGATGCGGTGACGCGTATTACGAATATATTTCCTCGGTCTACCCGGTTTTTGGGGAAATTAACGCTTTTTTTTTACGCGTAGGCGTGTCCTCGGGGAATTTAAAATTTTGGAGAAAGCTTCCCCCTCTCCCCTTCCTCTCGATTCATAACTCATCCCAGTTCTATATAAGAAAGAAATCTACCATTTTCTCCCTTATTTTCACTTTTATTATGATAAATTCCAACGCGTCTAGCGATAAACAACGAGTCACTTTCTAGCACTGGGAACGCTTCTTGGAACATTTTTCTTTTTTCTTTTTTTTTTTTTTTTTTTTTTTTTTCTTTTACGTTTTTCCGCGTTATAATTTTGCATTATTGGAACACGGGTCGAAGAACACCTGAGCAGCGTTGTTGAAAAGGCGAAGAGAAAGGGAAAGTGGCCTTCCATTTCTCAAGCGTCTATCGGCTGTCGTTGACGCCATCGACCTTGCTAGATGCCGATCCTTATTTTCTAGAGGAAAAACGGATCATCCGAGCACACTGGCTTCACATCGACACGACAATATTTAACGCGTTCAGAAATGATGTAAGACAAAACTATGTTTTGATAAAATTTATTTAAGGTTAAGATTTATCGATAAAGAAGGAACAATGCACGATGGGTTAATGGATGCCGCAAAAAGAAAGAGAATAATTCAATATTTTTCTTAAAAAATTGAATTTCCAATCGAATGACGTACGTATCGAATTGGTCCGTCCCTGTTCCTTTGTATCCTACTAGCTCTCTTGGATAGCAACCTACCGGTATTGCACAACCTCCGGCAAGGTGACCTAGTTGTACCTTGCATCGAAGTAGGTTGGAGAACCTCGAGATTCGGTTAAGTTCCAAATGCTCTTTGTTTGCCTGTGAACGTGGCAATAATGTCCCTCTTTTCAACTTAGTATTATATTTCCTCGATGTGACATGAAACAGAAAATAAAATATATTAAAAATTATGAAAAAAGTGTGAAAAGATTTGGATGAATTTTAATTGTAGATTAAAAATAAAAAAAAAATAGAAAAGATTAATATGTGATATTTTTGTACCAACCAATAATAAATATTTTATTAAAAGTTGATTGTCTTTGATTGTACAAAAATGTTAAAGATCTTTTCAATTATTTAAGTGATCAAAATTTAACAATTTAACGAAATGATCTTTATTCTATTATGCACATTACAAATTAAATTTTTTTCATTTTTTCTATATAATACTTGTAAAATTAAAATATGAAACGTAAAATTTTCCGTTTAGATTCATCATAACCTCTAATCGCGATTACTAGATTCTTTGTCTCGTTTTTTTTACATAAAAGAGCAGGATTCTCTTTCAATTCTCTAATTGCATGAGTATGAGCACAAGAATGTTTCGGAATTAGCGAATTAAACGAGATTTTTCTTTCAAATAGAAAAAGTTGTAAATAGGACTACGATGTAACACAAATATCGAGATGGAAACGTAGGAAGAAAGGAATGATAGTAAAGAGAGAGAGAAAGAGAGAGAGAGAGATCCGAGGAATTCGAGTCCACACCTAGAAGCGACGACTTCCAAGAGAGATATTTACCTTGGCAAAGGAAAGAATTGCAACGACGAGGGGGATACGTGGGCGAGGAAGCCCACCGAGTCTTTCTTTTTCGTCTCTTTGATCGAACCTACCCTGGACTGCATACAAAGAACGAGGTTCTACGCGCGAGATCCTTGCGAATCGTGCGTTTCGCGTGTGTCACGCACGAGAAATGCAGTTAGTCCGCCCACGCTGCTTTTCGTGGAAACAATGCGTGCCTCCAAGGGGTGCACCATCTAAACAAGAATGCCACGTGAAAAACGTTTATCTTCAACGTTATTGCTCTTTCTCGGAAAATTATTCAATCCTCTTTGAACAACTTTTTATTCACATGACGAAGCGGTTACAACGATTGTCGTGAGTGGAAATACAAAACTGATGCTATTTTAAACGTTTCTACAAAATTAAAATTATAATCGAAAGGTGATCATATTTTAAGAAGAAAGAATTTTTGAATTCTATGTTTGCACGATATTTTTTATCTTTAGAAATAGTAAAATATAAAACTTTGGCCATTTCCACTATAATATAACCTGTACAATACATAATATATAATATAACCTGTACAAACAGTAAACGTATATATAATTTACGAAATTTTACGACGTGAGAAATTATTCTAAAAACGAGGAAAAGAAAGACACTTAAAACGACTATATTCATAGCGTTAGCAGGTTCACAATTTTGGCTACAACTTTCCCTTATTGGCGAGTCTGGTTGCGTTTCGTGATAAACTTCTATTCGTTCTGAAACATTAGTTGTCGCGTGAGCCACGAGAAACAAGTTGTAACGCGTCAATCTCGTTCTGTCGGTAATATTCGAGCAAAATACACGTCTGTTACGCGTCTAAATTCACGAATGCATAACACAAATGCCTGTTTTTCGAGTTGTACGTTACGTTCGAATCCGTTTTCGAATTCGAGAATATTATCGAAAGAATTTATTAGAAAATCGATTATCAGATGATACAATCAATTTCTTAGCTTCATTTCGATAATAATCATATTTCAACGTCTCGATTATAATTCGAGAAAGTGTGTTATATATGTATATTGTTTACTGTTGAAAAGTCTCGCGAAACGACACAAAGGCAAGAAGGATTTTTTGCTAAGAACTATCTATTTTCACTTTAGACGCTTTGTTGACAATCCTGACACTATATAATAGTAAAAGAGCTATAATTTGAATATTAAAAATCGTAAAAATTATTTTCATTTATGAAGTTATGTTAGTTATAATCATTTAATTATAATCATTTAAGACTGGAAACTAAAATATTTTCTAAACTAATAATTATTTTAACATAATATTAATATATCTATAATATGTCTAGCTTATTCATATACATACAATTAGTATCTTAATTACTTGAATACAAAATTACATTTATAAATTAAATTATCATTATAAATTATAATTAGCTTATATATATTATGAGAAAAAAATGTTTATATTATATACATTAAAATTTTATGCCTTATGTTAATGCATTGAAGAATACAAATCATTGTTTTGGATTAGTATACGTGACAAATATCATGATAGAAATAAAAATTTCCTTCCAAATTAATCAATCAAACTCATATTCTTATATTTTTTCCAGCAGTGAACAGTATTTGGATAGCATTGTTGCAAGATCTATTACAAGATATTATAAATTTTAAAATCGTAGAAGAAAATATATTCTATCTCACGTTAATGAAGAAGATTCGTTTTTTCCTTACTGATTTCTAATTTTTTTTTCTTTTCTTTTCTTTATTCATGACCACTAATGATAGAAGTAAATGTCGATAATGCAGGAGAATAACCTGGTATTAGTATGATTGAAGAAAATTTATTTTACAATTGCTAATTATAGTTATCTTGCATCGATACAATACCTGATTTCTCCTCAAAGAATTACTCACAAAAATTAACCAAACGCAATTCTGTTCATCGTTCTCGTGACTCCATGAGAGATGAGAACAGGTCGTATCTCTTTTTTTTTTCTTTTTCCTTTTTTTTTTCCTTCTTCAATTAGTATGCGGCTGAGAACATGCACGTTTCGTTCAAGTTCGCATAAAAGTACGGTAGCCGGGCGTGGCACCAAGAAAGCCGGGAAAGTGATATCTCTTTGGTGTGTTCTGTTCCATTCAGGAACGGATTAACCTTGTTCGTTGCCCCTGTCATTCAAGTGTACTCGTTCAACCTGCTTGTTTCAAAATTTATTGAATCATTGTTAGCTTTCAATGATCGAATACAATTTGAATCGAAAAATTTTGAAGATTCGACCAAATTTTAGTTTTTATAATATTTTTAAAAATTATATTGTACGTTTTGTTAAAATTAGAGAAATTATTTGTTAATTTTGAAATTTTTAATGGTATTAGATGAGATTCTATTTCTTTGTTTTTTTTTTTAAATCAGTTTCAGAATTAATAATGTATTTTTATTTTATTTGTGCATCTTTCTCGAAATTATAATTCGAATACTTGTAATATTCCAATTAGAATGTTTGAAAAAGGCATAACTTCATCTCTTATAGTTATCTATATAGATATCAAAATTAGTAGGTTAGTGCATTTCTAAGACCCACGCAATGCTACTACCTACACGATATAAAGAAGATCGAAGATTTTCTTTGGTTTAATCCTTAAAAAAATGTTACAACTAAATTGTAAAATTGTAAATAAAATATATTTTAAAAAAATATTTAAATCATATAACTTAATATAATATGATAATAAATTCAAAAATACTAAAAGAAAGTATAATAAAAAAAATAAAAATAAGAATGTATGAATTTATGTTTCATATCTAATGTCTATATAGTTCTTCAGTGCATTATGTTTTAAGGTCAGAGTCAGAGTCGAAGAAAGTATATTTTAAAATAAAACGTGTTCTGGTTTTCTATGATCTTATTTTAAAATATCTCTTAGAATTTGAAAATAATTTCATTTAAAGAATTTTCATACAGAAAAAATTATTTTAAAATTCTTGTTTGATTAAACTATTTTTCGATATAAATTTATTACTATGATGTAATAAGATACTTTCTATTTTTGTTAAATATAATTTTTATTCTAAAATGAATTTTCTGAAAAAAAATATTACCTGTTAATGTAAGAAATATTTCTATAAATGTTTAAACATGTGTCAAATTCATTTATTTATTTCTTCCGTATGAAAAATCGTATTGCATTTCTACTTTATTTCCTTGTGTACATTTTCGAAGAACATGAACATACAGTGCCGCTCTCTTGCAGTAAAGTACAGAACAATTTCGTTGTTTTATATTTTCTGTTACCATCTAAAGTTACCATCCACGAATTTTCTTGGTTGATAAGTAGTATTCTCTTGATATTTCACTTGATATTTACATACGTACAGAAATTAATTTTTTGAAAAACTTTTCCTTATTTATTTCATCGATAAATTTCTATCAAATATTTTTACAATTTTTCTTAAATTTCTTTAATTTTCAAAAAAATTGAG